GACATGGGACATGGTCAAATTAGACATGTGGGATCCATGGTCCTTGGTACCTATCTTCCTTAGCTAAGACTAAGCTTGGCAGGAGTAGATGAGTCTTAGTCAGGCAAAGTACCCCTTAAAAATCAGTCCCTTTGTCATGTTTTGTTATGGATTAGACCTTGGCTGGGGTTGCATACGAAGTAGATATCTGGAGAATAATGTTAGATGAACCTCACCTTGCTTTAACCACTGTAAGAGACAAGGTATCGAATTAGATGAATGATTGATCTGATCTCTTATGACAGGTACTGTCTTCGATACTCTTTTATCTCAAATACTTTTATTCTATGGAAAGGTCATTTAATGCTCCAAGAGTTTCTCAAGCAAAAGTGTTTGTATAACTTTAGTCACAGCTTGACCAAGCGTCTAGTCACAGACTTAAGGTTATGATAATTCCCTAAGGTCACCAAGAAACAGAGAATCCAAGAAATGCCTGAAGGAATTGCTTTGTTCGACAAGTGGGTTAGGACTAAAGACAAAACTGTGAAAATAATTGTCTGTTTCCAGGTATTTTATCAATATTAAAAAGGGTCAGGCTTAATTACGGACTTCAGAATAAACATTCAACAAGACGCAATGCAAAAAGGCAAAATGCCCTTGAGACAGACTCATTAGACAAACGATACTTTCTGCCTATTGTATTTCTACTGGTTATATTCATCCTGTACTACCAGCAGGTTCTTTGAGTAAATTAAACCAGTAAATGACAATATTGTTAAACCAGCTCAGCCTGAGACATTCCAGCACGCCAGGTATAACACCAATGGTTGGTTGAAATTAAAAGAAAAAAAAGGATCTGGTACCTGCTGCAATAATGATATAGGGGTCCTTCAAAAGTGTCAGTAATGGTGTCCCCTTCTGACTCTATGAAACAAAAGCTTGGGATTAGAAAAGGCAAAATGTCATCCATTGCCTAGGGTGTTTTACTTTAATACTTACTTCTGCTTGTGCTCTGGATGGCTGCAGAACAAATAATTGAACAGCTGCAAAAAGAAATCAATACTGTAACACTTCTTCAAGAAGGGGGTTAGATGGTAGTAATATGAAAGGGGCGTGCTACATGGTGATATTGACTCTTCGTATTTACTGACCTCCATCTAACAGGGCCAGCGCTGCCAGCACCAGGAACGGAGAACTCTTCCCCACAAACTCATACATGATGCTCCCAAAAGGTGGGCCCACTGCCAAGGAGAAAGAAGGGACATGGTTGTGAAGCCACGTCTCTGACTCTGAACAAACATCCTCTGCAAGCCTTTGGGCATCCTGCTACTGGCACTCAGTGACCAAAAAGCTCAGTTTAAAAATCCCCACAAAGCTCATTGATCGTGACACTAACCATATTCGTCCCTCCCCAAAATACTCTTCCGTGTAAACAAAACCCAAACACCTCAGAGATTATTGCTAACATGTATATCCACCCAAGAAATGTGCTGCTGTGGGAAAAGCTATTCTTAACATGCATGATGAATTTAATCTGGAGATGGCATGATGACATTACACTTGATGAGACTCTTTTGCTGCTTTTGTAGATCACAAGTACAGGCTTTGGGAAGGCTGGGGGGTAGTTTCTCTTGCCAGCAGAGCCTCCAACTCACTGACCTAATACTCCCATAGCAAGGCCTCCTAGTGCAATTCCCATTGCATTGCCTCTCTCTTCATCATCTGTATATACACTGGCGAGCATGCCCATCCCTAAAATGAAAAAAAAAAAAATAATAAAGCACAATGCAAAACTAGAAAATTAAGCATCTGTATGCTACAGTTTATGGTCATCATTTGCAAACCCTACTAAACATTATACAGAGATGACAGCAGCTATCTGTATTTATATTTAAAAAAAAAATATAAATATGTATATTCTTCCCCCCACAGAATTCACTTTGAAGCAAAAGGGGCTTTGGCAATGTAAATGGTCTCCAAGACCATGTTTTATTGTACAGTGTTACTCAGGTAATTTAATGATGCCCTGATTTGCTGGATTCTTTGTTTCTGTCTTTGTCACAGAGCTTTCAGATGATGCTTTTCAACTAGCAGGAACAAAGCTTTTGGCAAGCATCCACTCTCTGTTATTTATACTCTGGGCATTTGACACAAAGGTCTGGTGTCCACCCACAGCTGTAACTGTGGTCACTGCTAGCTGTGCTCTGGGCACAAGGTATTATGCAGAGCTGCTTACTTTGAAAATGAGCATTTCAAGTTCAGCATCCAAAATTAAAGGATTCTTTTGACCTTTATCTTCATGTGCCTCACTTCTGCATTTGATGATGAACCTTCATTTCACAACAGGAAACATGAAGCCTAATTCATTTGTGGTTTTGTGAGGCACTCGGACACTGTAGACGTAAATGCTGCAGAAGAGTTCTCATAGAAATTAATAATTCCATTTTTAAATCAAGGTTTAAGTAGGACTCACTAAATAAGGTCCACAGCTACGCAGAAAAAGAAAACAAACTATTTCATGATCGATCAGGAAGTGAATACCATCCATCACGTGCATCAAAAGAGCAGAGGTCCCGTGTGGATTAACATGCTCATTGAAAATTGTGCATGGCACCAAATTGTTTGCATGAACAGCTGAAGAGCAAGTTAGAGAACAATATCAGAATTCACAATGAATTTGGGGAAATATCCTGGAAAAAAATAGGAGGCAATACAAAGAAGATAAAACAAAGTTTTATACTTAGGTAGGAATGATTATCTGCATAAATGCAGGGGGAGGGGAGGGTAAATGACTAATTGGCAACAATACAACAGAAATCTTCCTTTGTCTGTGAGATATGTGAAATAACTCTCACTGCTGTTGGCCCTTGTAAGGAGTCAGAGCTTCTTCTGGGTGCTGGGTCTGGTTCTGGTGCAGCACAGGAAGAAAGGTGGGGGTGGCCGGAGACTATCCAGAGAAGAGCAATGAGGATGACCAAAGGATTAGAAAAATATCTGTGAGGAACAACTGCAGGACTTTCAATTTTAAAAAAACTCAAGAGGAGGAAACCGATGTGAGATGTGATAATAGTCCTGCAATATGAAAAAGAGCTACAAAGATAAAGAAAAGAAACTGTTCTTCAAATTCTCTCAAGTATGGTAAGCAGAAATAAGCTTACATGACAGTAAGGAGGCTTCAGATGAGACATGAGAAAAAAAAACAAAACACTTTCTGACAGTGAAGGTACTTAAGCACAAAGCTAGATGCTGAGGGCATTTCTAGAGGCTTCTGAGAACATGCCTGTCAAGTACGCATGAGCAATGACAGATACAAAGCTGATCCTGCCTTTAGGAAGGGGGTGGACTAGATGGTCTCTTGGCTTTTTCTGCTCTGTTTTGCAGGTTGTCTGTGAAAAAGAGTAATGTACTCATCAAAGAGCCGTACCTCGAGGTGCACACAGCCTGAGATAAAACTGAACAATAATTTTGATTCTGGCATGTCTTCCCTTTGGAAAGCTTGACTTGTAACCTTAATTGGTGCAAGGAGTTGTAACCTTAACTGGTGCAAGATAGATTTTCTTGTCTACCCCTCCTGCTTGTCCCTGGCTCCTCATACCAAGCCCTGCCTACTCCCTTAGCCATATCCCCACCTCTCCCACTACTCATCCAGGCTTAAAGCTCTCTGTTTAACTAGCACTTGCTGCGCAGCTTCAAACCCATCTTAAGCATAAGGTGCTTCTTGCTCCCAGTTTGAATGCTTGGTCTGGGGTGTTGCATCTCCCCAGCTGCCCAGATGTGGGTTGGAACAAAGTCCCTGCAAAAGGAACCTAGGAGGAACCCAGCTGCCAAATCCTTGTTAAGTTTCTGTGGAGTGTACGTGAACCCTGCTCATAGGCCAGTCCAACTTGGAACAGAGAATTTTCCTGAGGAAGCCAAAAGATGCATTCTTGACAAAACGCTGTGTTCACCCCCCTTCCCAAGCCAAATTTATATTTCTGCTGCCATCGTGGGAAATTTTTCCAAGAGAAGACTGTGAAATGTTCTAACGTGAACAAAACATATTTTCTCCAATCTGAGTCTCAGAAGTGGTTGAATAATTCAGGCTGAAATCCCATACTCCATTTCACCTAGTCATTGAAAAATTATAACCTTGTATTGGAAAGCTGGTACAAGTAAACTGAGTCACAACTGGCAGACAGCATGGTAAGTCCTTCAAAGCAACATTTTATAACAGAAATTTCAGTAACAGACAGAGCTGCTATCCCTACTATAATAAGTACCAACATAAGTTCCCAATGACCTTTAAAATGGCTAAAAATGAATTTAAAGTGTTGAAGACACAGATACAGAAATCCCAGGGAGAGTGCAGTTCATTTAGTGCTCTACCTTACTGCAACCCAAATACCAAGGAAGTCTGAAAAGACATTTGCTTTTGAGCTACTTTATATGAAAAAGACAGAAAAAATGTGAGATTGATTTAATTTAATTTTTTTGTATTAATTATTGAAACTACAGGCAAAATAGAATTCAGAAAACAATTAAAAATGACAGAATCAGTGATCTGCATCTTACTCTATCATCTCTTCTCTTACCTGCCACCGAAGAACAAGAGGAACCCACTCCTTGAAGGGACCTGGCAATAAACAGTAATGTGTAGCTTCCAGAGAAGGCAAACACTATGGAAAAAAACAGAGATAAATTTTTAAAATTGGGTTAACTCTAACTAGGTTAAAAAGTTAGATTTCTTGAAACTATCACAAAAACTTCGTACAATTTAGTCAAGTGTTTACAGTGACTTGTGCCACTTTCAATGCTAACTGCATTATTTTCTTTTATTGCATTTAGGTGTGTCAGTGTTGAATTGCTCTCAGGTGTCTAAGCCTCCTGGTAACACAGAATGCAAGTCCACCAGCAGTTTTAACTAATTACTTAGGATTTGATTACATCCTGCTCTGATTCAGCTGCACACAGAAGGAGTAATAAGACCTTTCTTTCCAGCCTTGTCTTTCCATGCTGCTTCACCGAAGGCTGCCCACTCTGAAGCTCCGGGCATTTGGGGAAAGCAGGATTTAGCACACACACACACCTGCACACACGTTCACACTGATGTTTCCTCCAAGAAGTAAATAGATGGGGAGAGGTTTTACCGTGGGGTTGCCAGCTCCGCACTAGATGCTGTGCAGCATGGCTGGCTGAAGGTGCAGGGAAGCCAGCTCCAACCTTTCAAGGGCTGTAGCAAGTTCCTGATCCTCCCAACAGGAGATGACCAGAGAAATTGCACCAGAGGAGGTGCCTCTCTATCTCTCCCAGAGAGATTTAACCCCAGGCTTCACTCTCAGCCTTATGGGATAGAGCCCCTGGACACTGCACTCATCAGTCCGGCCAAATTCCCCATCCACAGCACTGGAAAGTGGGAGCATCCCAGAAACCCAAGCACAGCTCTGCTTGTAGAGCCTGTGTTATGGTTAGTGTCATTAAATCTAGCGAACTTTTAAAAACTTTTTTCAGCTCCTATCTGTTGGCCACCTAAGGAATTTTGCCAGACAGGTTATGGCTGGGGGAAGCTGTTAGGCACTAACTAAGCACAAGATCCACGTGCACTTCTCCCACCTGCCCTGCGGCATTGTGCCTCTTGGGCTTTTCATCAGCTTTTACAAGAATCTCTACCCATGTGGACAGAAAAAAATCAAGAAAAATAAAGGAAGGATGTCAGCAGATCAAAAGTAATCCCCTCTGCCATGAATTAGGCTCACTATTCTTATCTCCATCCCAACCAAAATTTGTCTAACATGTTCCTGAAATGCAGAGTTGTCAGTAACTCTAAGACCAGGTAATCTTCTCCAGCACTCCAATCCCCTTGATGATACAGTTTTAAGCTCGTCATTCCTTCTCTTACGTACAGTGAACATGGAAAACTGTTTGTTCCCTTCCTTTTTGTCATAGACTCCAATACATCTTACATCCGCTTTCTGAAACAAATACGGTTCTTTCACCATTCTTCACAGGCTTCTAATGATCCTTGATGTTCTCCTCTGTACTCTTTCCATCTGGGCCACATCTTTTAAGTGCCATGTCAAAGCTGAACATAAAACAGCAGCTGAAGCCTTATCAATGCCATTAGAGCAGACAAGTTACCTCAGCTGATTTGCAGGCGATGCTCCTGTTTGCACATCCCACAGCGATGTTTAGCAACGCTTTGATACTATTGACTCATATTCTACTCATGAGCCACTGCAGCCTCATGACCTTTCTGATAAGCACCTACAATAGCTAGTTGTTCAGGTCCCTGCAAGATAGCCTTCTCATGGCTGATAGCCCTCCCATGGCTATCATCTGTTCAAAACTGTCTGAGCATCGCTTCAGATTACAAGAACCTGAGAGAAAGACTCAGCTAAGGAAGAGATCCGCTGAGGTGGGATGGAAGGTTGTGAGTTCCTTCGAGCACATTCATAAGAACGTACTTGTCAAATCTCATCACCACCGCCATCCACATGGAGGAGCCGCCCTTAAATTTTCCTTGGAAATCAGTCCTTTTACATCAACACGAATTCCTAGGGATACTTATTATAGATCATTTATTTAAAAGTTGCATCTGCAGACCAAATAAGATGCGGACACTTACTGATTGTTGACACAAACATGATGCAGAAGCCAGCAAACAGTGGAATCTGGTAGCCTATTCTGGAAAACAAAATGAACATTCACATTTCTGGGATTGTCTCACTGACACTTTGAGTTAGACTTACTCACATGAGTGCACACATCACAAAAACCCGACCTGCAGTTCCTTGTAGGCTTTGGACTATTTATTGTGGACCACATGGTCAAATTTGTCCATGTTACAAATGCCTTTTCATCTGGCACAGCGGACTTTGTATCTGAAATCCCTGGAAGAAATCCTTCTCTTACTAGAATTTGATTGCCCTGTTCTCGTTCCACCATAATTGTTCCCAATAAAGCCCCTCTGGGCCTCTGTGGGGGTGCCAAGAATATGAGAAGGGAAGATTTGTCTGAGCATGCTGAGCTTTGAAATATTCGAGTAGTGTTTCAATGCTCATCTGTTTCCACCCTCATGAGACAATGACTGTAATGAGACACCGTCAAACCAATAGCTCTTTTACTTGGAAAATTTGTCATCAGCTTTGTCGGGAGTTCTGCCTCAGCCAGGAGCACTGGAAGAGTCCCAAAGAGCCTGAGAATAACATTTTTGCTTTCCATGGGTTTAGGGGTAAAAATGGAGCTGATCAAAGCTTTCTTCATCAGCCTGCTTCTTCATCAGGACACTAAACAGCCTACAGAAATCCCTGGTTGCTGTAAGTATTTTCAGGTTTCCAGGAAATAAAGGATTTTTCTGTCTGGAAAGAAAACATATATTTTTGGTAGCTAAAATTGAAATTTCAACAACAAAATTCACAACATACTATTTTTCATGTTGTTAAAAATCTACCACAGAATCAAAAACACTGCTCAGGTACCTCTGAAGATGGTCTGTATATTCTATTCAGCACACTTTATTCACAACTCTTTTTTTGTAAGATTTTGCATCTGAAATGTATTTGCACTATTTAATGGCCAAATTCTTCAACAATTTATTTAGTTTGTATTATTTAATTTTAATTTTATTTAATTTCTATTATTTAATGGGCAAACTCTTTAACAATGGATGATGCTTTTCAGAGGAGTACTGATTGACTTCAACTTCCAATGCCCAATTTGACGGTATTGGGCATTTATATTGGCAGTATTGGTTTATCCTGACATAGGTAAACTAATACAAGGGCAGACCATGGATAATGGAAAACTCTCTGAGGTGCAGGGCTCAATATTCATTATGTGTCTCATTATAACATTTGTTTGAGTTTTGCGAATGTAAGAAATCTAGCATGAACGTTTCTACATGCCACAGAAATCTCTAATGAAGAATAATTATGCCTTAAATGTCATCACTACATTAAAAATATGACAAAAACGTAGCATGCATATTCTTCTAGTTGAAGTTTGTAAGTGGGCGTTAGAAATATCCAGTAGAGACTAGTTACTTGTGTGGAACTTAACCAGACTGGTATCTCCACAGCAAATTAAATCCCTGGCACTCTCACAGACTTCCTATGTGGCCTTATGATAGTAATTTCAATCTCTCAGCACCTTGATACTTGGTCTGTAAGAGAATACTACTACCTTTTTTGTCTGCTTTATTTAAAGTGGATGATTTTTCTAAGCCTGTCTCTTCTCTTACTGTGTGTATAGTAGGTACTATACAATGGGATGCTAATCTCCACTGATGTTTCTATGTACACGAGGAAATAAAAAATTATCCTCTCCTGTTACCAACTTCTTGCCTGCCTCAGAGCTGAAGTGGGCACTTCCCTTTTCAGTAAGCTCAGGTAGAACAGGCCACAGTAACTTTGACCACAATTGCTTTGATTTTTAACTTTTCATTTAAAGAAATCTTTCCTATAAATAGAGATTAAAAAAACTTTTCAGTTATGACTCCTGTGGTGGTGAGCAACACCATCTTTCTCTCTGGGATTATGAAAGCAAAAGTTGAATGTCCTTATGTCTTCTTCCATTGCAAAGTAAAGTAGAGTTGTGTCTGTCAAGGCCATCCCAGAGGTATCTAGGATGGACACTGTAGGAGGAGAAGTCTAATTTTAGCAGCGAAATCAAGCAGCTCTTAGACTTGACACAGGGGCCATGAGACAGCAATTTGCTTCTGCTACGAGCACTCTGAAATAAAATTCAGTTATTTGCATGAAAACAAATCCATCCAAAGTGGCTCCCACATTCACGTTTCCATCACTAGATCAGAGACATGAGCTGTGAGATCTTCCATAAACATGAATGAGTTAAACAAAGAGAAGGACTATCATACTAGTTCTGTAATCTTAACTGAAGGATCCACCTCTGTCAAGTTAAAACAGATTTCACTTCTTCTAGTCGGCTTCCTACACTTGGAAAGTTTCTGGTGGTTGAAAGCTGTAACAAAACAAGTATTTTGGAAGTGACTTTTAATGCTCAATGAAATACTGTTCAAGCATTGTTTTTAATTTTTGCAGCCACAGGTACTATTCCTCCTCTGTCTTGGACAAACAGAGTCACAGCAAGGTGTGAAGCAATACATAGCAGAGGGTGATGAGGACAGAACTGAAGCAGAACCCAGTTCTGCTCTTGCTACCTAGCAGACCATGATGCTTCGTCGCACATATCGAGATCTAACACATACCTTTTTCTCCACACAGAAATTAATTATTTCAGAACCGGACCCTCTGTGGGCACAGCTAGTCCTTTCAACCAAAGTCTGCATTGCCAGTGATCCATCATACAAGATGACGCAAAGGTATACATGTCAGCAGATGATATGCGTTTGTGCTGAATTAAACAAGTCATTATAATCCTCTGAAAAGGTAAAAATTGCCTGGAGCTTCACCCACAATTTGGAGACACAAGATTCTGGTGTGCTGCCCCTGCATGAGACTGCTGATCCTCTAGAAGTGGTGGTTGCTCTTGCTCAGGGGACAGTCTTAGCCACATCCAGCTGACATTTAGTTAGATATGCAGATTGTCCTTTCCTGCATAATCTTAGCAAACCCTGCCTCCTCCTGCAATAGCAGCACTAATTAGTTGGCACTTGTGCTACCATAAATTTCCAATCTGCAGCTGCATTCCCTGATCTGTCCAACACATTAGAAAGCACAGACTGCTAGTTTTTGCTGAACAATTACACTATATAACATAAATAATCACAAAAAGGAGAGGCACTACCTGTAACAGCCAAATATTCAGTGATTCTGTGTCTTGGTCCTGGGCCATTCATGGTCTTGCCATGTGAAACCTGTGAATATGCAGTTTCTACTTCTTGGCCATGACATGGCATATTCCATCACAGTTATCTCTACATTTTGTTCCTCTGCATGTGTGCAACACAAAAGAATATTACAGCCTGTCTTCTCCTTTTTTCTTGTTACCACACTCAAGCATGTAACTTTCTTGGGCACTCCTTTCAAAACCCTCCAAGAGAATCTGAAGCAGAGCCCAGCATGTTTCACCAAGGCTACCTGCGGCTAAAAGTACTTCCTACAAGTATTTCTGACCTCTGAAAAAGCCGGAGTCATTAGTTGAAGGAGGGAGAGGAAAGCCTGCCACTGATGGAGGACACCTAAATTACTCCATTTCAGTCCCACGCTGGCCCTAGACTGCAGGACTTTATGGAAGTGGATTATACCCATTAACAAGGTTACCCTACAATAAGACAACCAAGTGATGGATGGGTCCTGTGCAGCAGTAAAATAAAGGTTACACTGACCAGATTAGCAGCTGGGCATGATTAAAGCCTAATTATCCATCCATTACAGTGCTGCAAATTCACTGATTTCAACCTTGTTGTTATACAGCTACACAGGTACCACTATGAGCACCCCTTGTTGAGTCTGTCCTGGGTGGCAGTCTGGCTATCTTCTTCATGGCCAGTGAAGACCGGGGAGGTCATATGGCAGAAAGAATATTTTCCTTGAGGTAATGAACCGCTGAAAGTGTGTGAAGGTAAGGAAGAACGTGGGTTCAGGGTCAGTAGGGACAGGGAGTGTGGTCTGTACACCCTCCACCTCCGTGTTCCGTGCTGTAGCACAAGGTAGGCAGAGGGGCTTTGTCTAACCTGCGGAAGCTGTCATTTCATTCACCTGCCAAAACCTGAAAGGAAAGCTTACAAAGGAACTGAACCATAACTAAGTAGTTACAAATGCTATTTATTTCTCTGCTTCATTCTTTGCGCGTACTTTGGTCATGAACATATCACGGTCCTAGCCACTCTCTCATGCAAAGAAGTTTAAAGCTGTAGTCAGGCTGGTGTAAAAATGTTGATGAAAATATCTGTTCATTTTCTAATGATTTTTTGAGGCCAATATGGATAAGCATAAGGTTAAAACTATTTATTTTTTCAGACTGATAAAAAAAGAGAGGGGGAGACATGGCAGGAGAGGCATTCATTGGCTCTGGTGGATTGTGGGGCTACCGCAGTTGGGCTTACAGCTCATTCACAGAGCTTGGAAAGAGTTTGAAAAAAATTATGGAGCAAATCAGTTAGTTACAGATGGCACAGCAGTCTTTTGCCCACTCTTCACTGAAAAGGATTAGACAAAGACTTCAATCTCCCCTTGCCAGTGCATGCTCCTCACAAAGTTTCCCACACCAAGCGCTGTACTATTTGTATAATTTCTTACCAATTTCACAACACAGCAAGTGCTGTGCTATTTGTATAATTTCTTACCAATTTCACAAGGAAAAACATAATGTGCATCTAAGCCACAAAATCTTATCAGCTCTGCCCTGAAATCGTGCCACAGTGGGAAGGGTGTTGTTGACATCCTATGGCAAAGCCATCACCTAGCGTTTCCTTTGCTAGGACTTTGTTAGATCAAGGGTAAATCCAGTTGTTTCATGAATCGCAAACCAGTTCGCTAAGCCAGGTGTGTGTTTTGTTTGGTACTGCACAGAAAGAGCTGGGCTTTAAATAGGAAATATTTTTAGCCAAACTTACTTCTTGGATGAGACCAATTTTGAAATTTATTTTGAAAATCTACACCTCCAGTAGTTACAGAGAAAAGGAAAAACAGCCTACAAAACTTCCAGAAAACCTTAAATAAAGTAGTTATTGGCACAGACTCATAGGAATCAAACATCCTGTTGCATCCTGTACAAACTCAAGCACTCGAAGCCAGTGTCTACTGAAAACCAGTAGCTCCATACTCGATTAAAAATCTAAACTACTCTTGAACAACTATATTTGATTGAAAAACAAAAACCAGGAACACAGTGTGCTACCTGTTTGAACAAGAAACTTACTGGGCATCTTAACGAACTGTGCACACTAATCTTGAACTAAGCAACCAATTCTCCTTAAGCTGTGATATTTTGCTGAAATTTTGCAAAAGTAATAACGGCAATAACAATTATCACTAAACAGCTTATCAGTGGTAAGGAAGAGTCTTTGTAATGATAACTCAGATATTTTCTGTTTCATTTATAATAATCGCAATTTTCAGACTGCTTTTTAACTGATCATATACATTGTTATTAAGAAATTTCAACTTCAGGGCTGCTTTTTGCCAATGACTTCTACAGTTAACTGATAAGTGTGTTAGCTGATATTTCCCTCTAAACATTTCTCAGAAGAAAGGCAGATGCTGCTACCAAGATACAAATAACATATGAAAGAAAACCAGTAATCCTTAAATCTAATTTAGTGCCACTTTGCCACTAAGGCACTCATTTCTGCCATATGAGAGAAGAGTTTGTCGCACAGGACACCGGGATGATGTGCCCCTTGCTTTTTCTCCTCGCACTTATTGGACATTTGAGCTTGCAGACCTGCCCCTGTGATGACAGCCACACGCTCAACCCCGTGTGAAAACCTGTAGGATGTTTCCAGGAGGAAATCTCAGCTCATAGCACTAATATTCACGCTGGTGTGTTGCCAACCCTGTTCCTAACAGCAAAGGGAGATGCTACAAGAATATCTCCTACCCTGTTGCCCAACATAAGGATGCATCACGCATGTCCCGGCAGCCGGCTCGGGGGGAG